GGCATCCTCTGTGATGGTGACAAGCATGTTTCCCAAGCATACGTCTCTCTATTTTATACCTTGATTGATGCTAACAACAGAGATATGGAAGAAAGATATTTTCTGTGGTTGCGTTTATTAAAGAATTTTGTGTAACCTCAACATAGGTATGTCCTTTCTCATTGGAGGAGAGCCTTTAAGGCTGTCTTTTGCTCTGCCATTCAAAGGCTTATATAATAATATTAATATTAATAATATAACATATAATATATTAATATATAATATATTAATATTAGTAATAGCTGGCATTTCTATAATGCTATAAGGTATGCAAAGCATTTTACAAATGTTATCTCCTGTGGTTAGTATCCCTATTTGACATATGAGGAAACTGAGGCCAAGAGAGGGTAAGTGGTATTCGCAGGGTCATACAGCTAGTAAGTGTCTGAGGCAGGATTGTAACTTACATCTTCTTGACTCCTTGTCCAAGAGTCAAACCGTGATACCATCAACAAGCAATGAACTCATTCTATACCTTTTAGTTAGTTACATAACCGAAGATATGGACTGCTTTATGATAATAACAGTGATCCTTAACTGTTAATAATGACTGACATTTAATTTTAATGTTGGCAAATAATTTAAAATATAGTATCTGTTTTAAATCTTAGGAGATAGGCACTATATGTATTTTTATTTCTGTTTAAAAGATGGAAAAAACGAATAGAAAAATAATTTGTGGAAAAGACTGACAGTTCCTTTCCCATATTTTTATGAATGATACCCTCAATATATATGTAACTCATTCTCATAAAGATTTCATAAAAATGAGAAAGTATGAGTATGGGTCAGTCATGACGTTAATTTCGATTGCCTTTTGGGGGTAGAAATATTGTGCATGTTTTTTTTCCCCATTCTTTTCTTCTATTTCTGAAACTATCTTGTAATCACAATATTTTCAAGTTGTGTTGCATCCAACATAGACTTCCTCGGGTGTGTGTTTAGATTGGTTTTGCACTCTTCCTGACTGCCTTCTTAAATACCATTTCTACTTTCTCATACAGCAATCAATCCAAATATGGCGGTGACATTGTCATCTATTATAAAAATATATCATTACACTAATAAAAATAACAATTAACTAACTTGATAATAATTAACAAATAATAATTAATAATAATGACATTTTATACAGTGCCAGACACTACGCTCAGTGCTTTACAATTATTATCTCATTTGCTCTTCACAAAAACCCTGCAAGGTAAGTGTTACTATTATCCCCATTTTAGAGGTGGGGAGGCAGAGTGACTTGCTCAGAGTCACAGAGCCAGTAGGGGTCTGAAGTCACATCTGAACTCAGGTCCTCCTGACTCCACAGCCAGTGCTCTATCCGCTGCACCACCTAGCTGCCCATGTTTAATAACATTTAGCACAGAATTAAGTTAAACTTATTTCAAGTCACATCTTATCCACTGAATTTAACTGTAGGCTATCTGAGAGCAGCATTTGTGGCTTACACCTCTCTAAATTTCCTTCCAAAGTCTAGCATGCATGTAGGGTCATGGTAGGTGATGAGGAAATGTCTATTAGATTTATCAATGTAAAAACCTCAGGTTGTTTAATTATGTCCATCTTCTCTGCCTACCTGGATTGTAAACACTTTGAGGGCAGGGCCTTAAAGCAATGCGAGTTAGATTGATGGTCAGGAAAAACTTCATGGTTCTGGTTTCTTCTCTGTACTCAAGGGTCTGGTCTCTCAACTCTCCTAGGCTAGAGCATCAGTGATCAGCTAATTTAAGAGGAGCTTAATCAAACTGTACATATCCTTTGATCCATGCCATCATAAAAAAGGGGAAAGGACCCACATGTAAAAAATCTTTATAGCAGCCCTTTATGTGGTGGCAAAGAACTGGAAATGAAGGGATGCCCATCAACTGGGGAGCAAGTTGTGGTATATGAATGTAATGGAATACTATTGTGCTATAAGAAATGATGAGCAGGCACACTTCAGAAAAACCTGGAAGGACTTATATGAACTGATGCTGAGTGAAGTGAGCAGAACCAGGAGAACGTTGTACACGGTAACATCCACATTATGCGATGACTTAACTTTAATAGACTTGGCTCTTCTCAGCAACGCAAGGACCTAAGACAATTCCAAAAGATTCATGATGGAAAATGCTATCCACATCCAGAGAAAGAACTACAGAGTCTAAATGCAGATCAAAGCATATTATTTCTACTTTTTTTGTTTTTCATGGCTTTTCTTTTCTTACGTTTCTTCTTTTACAGCATGACTAATGTAACGTGATTACACATGTATAACCTATGTCAGATTGCTTGCCGTCTTGGGGAGGGGGAAGAGGAAGGAGGGAGGGGGAATATATTTGGAACTCAAAATTTTATAAAAAATGTTAAAAACTATCTTTACATGTAATTGGAAAATAAAATATTATTTAAAAAAACAGAAGAGCCAGCTCTGAGGGAGTTGGAGTGCATTGCCCAAATCGCCTCTGAGGCTGCTGTACAAAGCCAATGTAATAATTTACAGGGAGAATTATATAACAAAATGGACTCACAGCCTTCTGAAGAAGGAAGAATGAAATGAAGAGCCCCAGCAGCCCTGATCTGTGAAAGTGTTAACAAATGACCCCTTGGGCCCATAAAGAGACCTGAAATGAAACAGTCTCATCACTAATTAAAAGCACTTATAGGGCAGCTAGGTGGCGCAGTGGATAGAGCGCTGGTCCTTAAGTCAGAAGGACCTGAGTTCAAATCTGGCCTCAGACCAAACACTTGACAGTTACTATCTGTGTGACCCTGGGCAAGTCACTTAGCCCCAGTTGCCTAAAAAAAAATAAAAAAGAGAACTCATCTGCCCTTTTGGGGCAGCTTGGTGGCGCAGTGGGTAGAGCACTGGCCCTGGATTCAGGAGGACCTGAGTTCAAATCTGGCCTCAGACCAAACACTTGACAGTTACTATCTGTGTGACCCTGGGCAAGTCACTTAGCCCCAGTTGCCTAAAAAAAAATAAAAAAGAGAACTCATCTGCCCTTTTGGGGCAGCTTGGTGGCGCAGTGGGTAGAGCACTGGCCCTGGATTCAGGAGGACCTGAGTTCAAATCTGGCCTCAAACACATAACACTTAACTAGCTGTGTGACTCTGGGCAAGTCACTCAACCCCGTTGCCTAACGCAAAACAAAATAAAACAAAAAAAAAATAAATAAAAGCACTTATTGTCTGAGAAAAAGACTTGTTGGAGAGAGAAGACCCTACAAGGGAGAAGGGAAGGAGAGTTTTTCAGCTGCTCAAAGAGGACAGAAAAAGAGTGAGATATTGTAGTTTTTAGAGGCTTTCGGGCAGGGAGCGGGGGTTAAGGGAGGGGACATCTGTAGACACAATAAGCCAGGCAGCAGGATGTTTACAAAATTCGGAGCAAGGTCCCGACTGTAGTTTCAGCTCAAAGTTGAGCTGGTCAAGGCTGGTTTCTGGCAGATACAGGCATCTCCAGATTCAGCTAGAGTTCACTCGCAAAGGATCACTGCTGTGTCAGGCAGCTCTGAGCTTCAGAAAGCCTTCTAATTGGCTGTGTCACTCCATTGTCCCGCTCCCCTGTGAAGAAGGGACTTCTCACACATAGTAGGGTCACGACGGACCCATGTCCACCAGAGCAAAAAGGCAAGTCATAGGTATGGCATGAGCAAGGGTCATCACTTGGACATCCAGAATGTCAGAACTGGAAGATGGTTTAATAATCAGCTAGTCGAGCTGACTCATTTTACAGAGGAGGAAAATGAGGCACAGTAACTTATTATATATAAGAGCCAGTAACTTATTTCTGCTAGCCAGGACCAGACCTCAGTGTTCTTCCGCTGTTGATAATTGTCTTCTTCACCTGTCCAATTCATGTCTCCCCAGCTAGACTGACAAGCTGCCTGAGGGCAGGGACATGTCTGAGAAGTCTTGCTATCCCCTACGTCCAGAGAACATGGCTTTACACAGTAGGCACTTGGTAAATCTGTGTGATTGATTGACTGGTCAGTTAAAGGAGCAGAACCTGAAAGATTCCCATCACACTGGCAATGCTAGGTCTGCCCAAGCCAGCCCAGGGTTCCTCTTGGCCGCTCTCTCCCTTACTTAGCACTGCCCAAGAGTACAGAATGATTCTCTTAACTCTCCTTTTACAAAGGAGATTTGCCCTTTCAGTTCTAATTACATCATGGCCTAGTTTACAGCAAAAGGTCGTCCCAGATTGCTTCAGGGAAAGCCTGTCCTTACAGGTTAGTCTCTCTTTTAACACTGTGGCTTTTGGCTGGCTTCTTTTCAAGGAGGATACATGTACCTGCTCCTAAACTCAAATTATGTCTTCTTCTTGTCTGGTGGCTCTGCCCTGGGGAAACTTCTGAGGCCTCTCTGATGCAGCTAGACACATGGCAAGACCAGTCATTGTCTAATGTTTGGAGAATCTCAGGTTTGAGCCGCAATGGGGAGGGACCTCAGGAAGGCTTGTGTCCTTAGATGACAAGAGGAGACAGACTGAAACATTGTCCAGGGCATTGAAGGGGATGGGGGAAAAAGTTTCCATTCAGCTCTGGGTTTTCTTACATGAGATGCTCATAAGGGCTAAGGGCAGCAAAGGAGTAGAACCTCATTTACACTCAACCCAGGAACTCAGAGTGGCTGAAGGAGGGGGTGAGGAAGGGAGGGAAAGGTTGGGGTGTATTTGGAGGGGCAGGAAATGCCTGACCAGGGAGTGATGGGGCAAGCACAGTGTCCCAGGGACAATTAGAGCAGTTTGGATAGATCAATAACTGGGAATGTGGGGAGACAGCAGGGATTTGTACTGTTCCGAATACAGCACAAAAGCCAGGGTTGTTTTTGCTATGGAATGTGGGACAGGAAGGTGGAGGACAAAGACCTTGCTTTCTTACCCCATCCTTGTGGAGACACTCTATCTCTCAGCTCCAGTATTCTCTCTGGCCGTCCCCCCATGCCTGGAATATTCTTCTTCTCATCTCTGCCTCTTGGCTGCTTTCAAGTCTCAGCTAAAATCCCACCTTCTAAAGAAAATAAAATACAATAAAATAAAATAAAATCCCACCTTCTAAAGAAAATACAATAAAATACAATAAAATAAAATAAAATCCCACCTTCTAAAGAAAATACAATACAATACAATAAAATAAAATAAAATCCCACCTTCTAAAGAAAATACAATACAATACAATAAAATAATAAAATCCCACCTTCTAAAGAAAATACAATACAATAAAATAAAATAAAATCCCACCTTCTAAAGAAAATACAATACAATAAAATAAAATAAAATAAAATCCCACCTTCTACAGGGAGCCTTTCCAACCCCTTAATTCTAGCATCTTCCCGCTGTTAATTATTTCTAATTTATCCTACATGTAGCCTGTTTGTACATGGTTGTTTGCATGTTGTCTCTGTGATTAGATTATGAGCTCCTTGAGGAACTGACTGTCTTTTGCCTTTCTTTGTATGCCTCAGCACAGTGAGTGGAACATAGTAGGTGCTTAATAAGTGTTTAGTGACTGACCCACTTACTGCTTATTGATTGACTTACTAACAGCTCAGATTCATTTGCATTCCAATCCTGAGGAGATCTGGAGAGCAATGTGAGCTTTCTCTTCTAACTTCTGCACAGCTCCGATGGGGTTTCTTTGGTAAAACCACTTGAAAAAGATTTTGGGAAAGCACAGAATCTCCATAAGAAGTTAAGCAGTAGTTAAAAGGACTTTTTAAACCCTAGCTTCGCCGCCCCCTCCACCCCAGTCTTTTCTAACCCTAAGTCAGGAGCTTGGAGAAAAGACTTTGAACCTACCAGCAAGAGGAAATGAGTTTCAAAAGTCAGACTAAGTGCTTTTTGATCTCTTATAGGCTGGCTGGCCTGCCTGTGTTCCAAAAGAGCCTAGCCCTTGGGGCTGAGATTTAGGAGCTGAGAGCTCTTGTCTCCTTATGGAAAGTTACTTTTCTGTAGCTAAAAGTAGCACAATGGCTAGAATATCTGGCCTGAAGTCTGGAAGATCTGAGTTCAAATGCAGCCTCAGATGCTTTACTAACTGTGTCATCCTGGGCAAGTCACTTAACTGTCTTTGACTTGGTTTCTTCATCTGTGAAATGAACTGGAAAAGGAACTAACACAAACTACTCCAGTATTTTTGCCAAGAAAACCGCAAATGGGGTCACAAAGAGTCAGACACAACTGAACAACCAAAGCTTATTTGTAATTGAGTGTATGAGGACCCAGCTTTCTAAGAGAGCTAAAGTTTTGCCTCTAGGATATAAGCTTTAAAAAAAAAATCACCAGGGGCAGCTAGGTGGCACAGTGGATAGAGATCTGTCCTTGGAGTCAGGAGGACCTGAGTTCAAATTCAACCTCAGACATTTGACACTCACTAGCTGTGTGACCCTGGGCAAGTCACTTAACCCCAATTGCCTCACCAAAAAACAAACAAAAAAATCACCATATATTTATTTTGCATATATTCTGTGAACAGGTAGAATCCCTCTAGTTTCCCAGTGAGGTAAACTCCTTGAGAGCAGGTACAGTCTCATTTTCAGATTTGTTTTCAGATTTTCAGACAGAGAGAGAGACAGAGAGCGCAAGAGAGCAAGGGAACAGTAGGGATGGGACACGCTTCACAGTGGGGCCCAGAGACACCCAGCAGGAAGCAGCAACATTGTTCCCAAAAAGGAACTAGCCCAGCAGAGAATAATGATGACATCACCAGAAGACCTAGTATGATTTTGAGGTATGACAGATAAATAATAAACATTTATTAAGCCCCTGCCAAGTGCTGAGTGCTCACAGCAACTCTAGGAGATAGATGCTCTTATTATCCCCATTTTACAGATGAGGAGCCTGAGGTAAATGGGTAAAGTGACTTGCCTAAGACCACACATATAGGAAGTGTCTGAGGCCAGATATGATTCCAAGTCTTGGACTCTACCCACACACTGTACCACCTAGTTGCGTCTCCACTCACGTGTCCTGACCACACACTCAATATATAGCCCTCTATGTAAAATCTAAACATGTCTACTCTTCCCTCTGATGGAATAAATATTCCATTTTTCATTTTTTTTTTACTGATGGAATATTTGAAGGAATGTTGCTGTAAGGACCTCATTGTCCTTCCCGGTACTGTAGCCAAAATAGCCGAAAGCCCCTTTTCCTACCATCAAGAAGTATTACTGTCAACTAACCTAATAATTTTCCAGGTGTTCCCCCCTAGCACCAGTCCCCAAACCTTGACCTACACACTCAATCTGAGCACTCCCTGCTCCATCTCACCAGTGTTGAATCCTACCTGACTGACCCATTGAACAGCCCCATTAAAAACCCACTGGCCTTCAATTTGGATCCCCTATTGCACTAGGGGCCTCAGCTGACCTGACCTGGTTGCATCCTCCCTGACTGCCCCCTTGTACTGTGTATTTCCCTTCCATAAAGCTTGCTTGCTTTACTCTCTTCTAGCTCCCAACTTGTGCTGTATTCCGTCCTGTGGTGCACGGCCCTCTCCTTCAACTGTACCCTGGAATTCTGAACCTCTCTCAAACTACATTAAGACAATGCCCCAAGTATAAGAGGGATTCTAGTGCTACTTTGCTATTTTATTTAATGCCTTTGCTTTGCAACTAATTATATCCTCTGGCTAACTAATAAAAAGTGAATACATCTATGGGGGCTCATTAGCTATGTTTTTGAGTGAATTGGATACCATAAAGTGCTTTGAAACTAGGATAGTTTCTCTGGGGTCTCATATGTAAAGGGGGGTGTTCTAGGTACTCGAGAGGTATTTTACAGAAGGGACCAAATTAGCTAAACCTTCCTTGATCAATAAGAACCTTCACTTTCTCACTTTTGTTTCTCATCTTTCTAATGCAGGGATGGAGAACCCTCGGCCTGGCCGCATGTGGCCTCAAGGCCACAGGTTCCCCACCCTTGCTCTAATACAGTTATTATGTAATATTGTGTATGATAGTTATCTGTGTCTGTGCCCTATCCCCCATTAGACTGAAAGCTCCATGAGGGCAGGGACTCCATTATCTCCAGTGGCTAGCACAGAGCTTGGGGCATAGTAGGGATTGTTGACTGATAAGTGATTGACCTCTGACTGGGGCCCCTCTTCTCCTTCCCCATGTCTCTGACAAGCTTTCACTTGTTCCCAACTTTACCCTCCAATAACTACCCTCTCAGCTTCACTGGTGCTATACCTCTGGCTGCCATGCAACCCCCAGCATGGTTCAGAGGATACGTTCCTGTGCCCTCTAAGGATATCTCACAGTTCTGTCCCTGGCTTATTTCCCCCTCACCTTTACATTCTGTCTGGGCCAGCCACTGGGGCAGATTTCCCTGCCTTCTCTGAGCACCTTGTTATATCACAGAGATTTAGATCTGGAAAAAAAAATCTCAGAAGTCATCTATTCCAACCTATAGCTGAACCTTTAGCTATAGCTATATTCAGCCTATAGCATGAATCCTTTCTATAATATGCCTGATAAATAGACGTCTAGCCTCTGCTTAAACAGAGAGCCGACTACCTCCTAAGGCAGTCTATTCCACTCTAGAATGGTTCTAATTGTTAGGAAATCTTTGCTTATATGGAGCAAAAATCGGATTCTAAGCACCTTCCACCCATTACACCTAATTCTCCCCTCTGGGACCATGAACAACCCAATCCTTTTTCCATCACCCATCTTTCACATTACAGTCTTTCTCATATTCCAAGCCAGTTCAATTTGAAAAGCATTATTTAGTGCCTGCTCTGTGCAAAGCACAGAAATAGTGTTGTGCTGTGTAGCCCCTCCTGCAAGCTTCCAGGGAGTAATGAGAGAGCTTCTTAGGGGGAGGGAGTCTTCTATCCTGGATGCATGAAATTTGGGTCGTGAGGAGATGAAATCTGGTAGCAGCACAAAGTTTGGGGGCACTGAGAAATGGGTGGTGTGAGACTGGACTGCACTCTAGGCAGATGGAGCCCAGACACCAGAGAGAGAGAGATCCTGTAGGTAATGTGGAGAAAAATTCCAATACTATGTGTTTGTGTCTCCTCATGCAGAGAATTATACCATAAATCTCTAGAAGCTTTTCAGTGTGGTCACAACTCTAAGAAAGGAGCATGTGAGGAATTTAGAGAAATATGTGATGATTTGTATGAACTGATCCAGCATGAAATAAGCAGAACCAGGATAAAAGTCTACACATGAACTATAATAATATAAATGAAAAGCAAACTAAAACAGAGGCTGCTTTAATTATAATGTCTAATCCTATCCAGGAGATAAGGAAATGTTCTATCACCCTTTCTTTGGAGAGATAAGGTGTGGAATGATAACTAAGCTGGGGTTTTTTTTGTTTATTTTCTTTTTGGTGAGGCAATCAGGGTTAAGTGACTTGCCCAGGGTCACACAGCTAGTAAGTGTTATGTGTCTGAGGCTGCATTTGAACTCAGGTCCTCCTGAAAGGCCAGAGCTCTATCCACTGTACCACCTAGCTGCCCCATAGCCTTCGCTCTTAATAAAGAAAAACAGTTCATCAAAACAGGATAGGTGGGGCAGCTAGGTGGTACAGTGGATAGAGCTCTAGCCTTGGAGTCAGGAGGACCTGAGTTCAAATCCAGACTCAGACACATAACACTTACTAGCTGTGTGACCTTGGGCAAGTCACTTAACCCTGATTGCCTCACTAAAAAAAAAAAAGAGGTAAGTCTCACTCTGGGGAGGCAGAAGGAGGAGTACATGTATATTTCAGAATGACTCTGATGTAAAAATAAAAGGCATCTATAACACTTTTAAAGACAAAAATAAGATAGTCTCTGCCCCCAGAGAGTTTTCATTCTATGGAGGTGGGGGGGGGAATCTAGAACTTAAATAGATAAGTATAATACAAGTTAATTTGAGGAGAGAGCATTAGGTGCTTGAAGACAGCTATCATGCCATGCCTCTTTTCCCCCAGTGTCCTGGCTTCTTCATCTGATGTGCTCTCTAATATACTCACCATCCTTACCACCGTGGGAGACAGCTCGGTGTAGTAGAAAGAGTGGTCCTCACTCTGCCACATGCTGTTTCGGTGACCTTGGGAAAGTTATTTAAACTCTGAGTCTCAGTTTCCTTATCTTAAAGAAGAGAATTCAAATAGATAACCTCTAAGGTGCTTTGCAGTTCTAAATCAATCAACGTCCTTCCTAAATTGTGGCCCTCAGAACTGAACACACAGCTCCAGAGGCAGACTGGCCTGGGCAGCATGTAGTGGGACCTTCACCTCCCTCATTCTACTGTTGTAGGCTCAAGTCACTCTTTGGAATGTGGCTCTGCTCCCTGCATGGACTTTCCGCCCAAAGGAGGAATTGGCCCTTCAGGAGTTGGGGGGTGGGGGCAGCATTCTCCATGGATTTGGTTGTCATCCTCACAGGCTTTAAATTGTAGCTGTTCTCATTTAGTGCCTCTGAGCTTCCAAAACCTGCTTTTTTCTGGTGTAGGAAAAAAATTACACTGCCCCTCAACCCACTCCTAGGCCGTCTACCCCCCCACTCCCCTACTGGCTTTTGGGATAAATCCTTCCTTCCCTCTCATCCAAGTGTCCCACACTGAGATCTGATTTGAGTTGAGTGATACTCGTGAGGCCTACGGGAAATCCTTCCCCTTCCTAAGAGCTGGCCAAAGGAAAGAAATCAAGTTACTCCTCCCATGAAGAAACCTATAATAGGAAATTCGGTCCTCCCAGGCCAGGTCAGCCTGAGTCTAAGTTCCCCAAAGAGCAGAGAAATGGGAAAAGGAATTTTGTAGGATATATTGAATAAAGAAGAGAGAGGAGCCCATGGGACACCGATGTACACACACCTGCATGAAAGGACACAAATACTTATGTATGAGACCCATGTGTCCATATGTGTAGACATATATACATGTGCACACTCTAGCAGTGGCCCTAAACGGGGGGAAAACTAAAACCAGAATTTCATTTATGTTTGTGTTGACTGGAATAGGGATTAGGGGAAGGAAAGGTGGCGAAGTGGAGATCAGGGATGAGAGTATGAAACTGCAGGTCTGAAGTCAGTGCAGGGTTTGTCTTGTAATGGGAGAGATCCTTGTGTGTTAAGCTAGAGAGCAGAGATCTCAGGTAGAAAAGAAAAAAAAACCAACCACCTAGATCTTAGACTGTTAGAAGCTGGAAGCAGTTTTATTGCTCATGAAGTCCAATCCCTTTCTTCCACTGAGGCCCAGACACAGGAAGCAAGTCTACAGCAGAGCTGGGGCAGGTTAGGGGGCCCAGAAAGGGGGAAGAAGGCTAGACAGCCGCCACCCCCCCCTTACCCCCCGGGCCTTTTCTAGCTCCAGCAGGGACCTCATTCAGTCTACCATCCCCATACCCCAGACCTGAACTCTTAGGGGTTGAAACACAGATCTTTGTTTCTCTCAGAGAAAAAATGCACAAGTTACAGGTTATTCCAGATTCTGAGCAAACAAAAACCAGCCCAAAGTAGGGGGCCTATGCCTACTCCTGTTTCCCCCATTCCAAGGGGAAAGGCACACCTGCAAGAGGGTGGGGCTCCCTAAAAAGAAAGGCACACTGGTTGAACAGCTGTATGGGTTGGTGAAAGATGAAAGCTCAGTGCAAAAACCCTGAGATGCCCAGGCTGTGGGTGATGTCAGGAGGGTGTGGGTGCGGGGTGGAGTGTGTCTGCCTGTCATTTGTCTAAGTCACTAGCTGTGGATGGGAAGGAAGACTCAAATATACATGTGGGGTCATAGGAGCTAGGCTTGGGGCCACACCTCCTATTCTTCCTTTGTGATATTGTGCTTTTTTAAAGAGAGAAACTCAAATCTTTTCCAGGGTATTGGGGTGGAGTAGGGAGAGAGAGAAAGAGAGAGAGAGAGAGAGAGAGAGAGAGAGAGAGAGAGAGAGAGAGAGAGACAGAGAGAGAGAGAGAGAGAGAGAGAGAGAGAGAGACAGAGAGAGAGAGAGAGAGAGAGAGAGAGAGAGAAGACAAGAGAGAGAGAGAGAGAGAGAGAGAGAGAGAGAGAGAGAGAGAGAGAGAGAGAGAGAGAGAGACAAGCAGAGGAGGGGGTAGACTTCTCTTTGTTGTGAAAGGAGCCTCTTCCGAGATTGATACTCCCATAATGCTTTAGAATCAAGGAGATGTGTTTCTGGGAAGACGAGTCTGAACTACATATCCCATGGTTCTTTGAGACCCAAGAGACTCATTGGGGAGAAGGCCTCGAGTACGTGGAGAAGTGACAATGTTTAAAAAAAAATCAATAAATAAAGACGACAGGCCTGTAGAAGGGAGATATGAAAGAGAACACTGAGAAAGAGAAAGACAGAGAGAGAGAGAGAGAGAGTTGTCTCCCCTTGACTCCTCTTCCCCTGGCAGTTCACAGGAATTGAGAAATGTACCTGGAGCAGCAGGACCCAGGTAGCTGTTGGAGGAAGCCTGGAGGGGCAGATAGGATGGGAGCCAGCAGAGCAGGGCCTAGAGGCCACTAGGAGGAGCTGACGAGGTTTCCTCCAATGACCATCGAGCCAGGCCCAGAGGCCAGCACACCCCAAGGACTGCAGTCAGAAATCCAGCCTCAGAAGAGGATGGAGAATCACGTTCCTATGCGGCATTTTAAAGTTTCCAAAATGTTTTCACAATAATATCAAGAACTTCGTGGCATCCTCATTCTGCAGAGGAGAAAGCTGAGATTAGATGTTAAGTGCTACAAAGCTAGTAACTGTCAGAGCCTGGATTTGAACCAGGGTCTCCTGCCTTTGATGAGTGCTCTTAGGCGGAGCCAGGAGGCTTCTTCAGTTTCTGAAGGCCCTGCCCCAGGTCACTTCTATTTATGGAGGCCAGGGTGATTCTGGGACCCAATCTGGAGTTCTCCTCCAGGTAGTGTTTAATCAGGGAGGAGGCTTTGCAGAGGAGAGGGAGAGGGTAAACTTCACCATATAGGGTTAGTCTCCTGTAGGACCAGGTAGTCCTGGAGGAATGTGGAGAAGACTAAGAAATAGGATCCCACCTCACATATGGTAGCCAGGTGTTCTTTTGTCAGCAGAGCAAAGAACAAGTGAGACTTTATGGGAAACAAGAAGAAGACACTAAATAAAGACTTATCCCACTCCCAGCTTGGAAGAGCCAAAGCCTGCCCTTTGAAGATGAAGCCAAGGCAGCGACCACCATCACGGGCAGGAGTGCTGTCCTCCCGTTAGTGAGGTTGCATACTGCTTTACCCTGATGCCCCAATAAACCACAGGCTGGAATTAGGGATTTATTCTTAAATAAGGCCAGCAACATTGCCTCCTATATCCTTAAATTACCCTTTTTTGGTTTTTTATTTTCCACAGATGTCCAGGGCCCTTATGCTCTTTCCCCCTCCTCTGTCATTTATACCGTAGTATGAATTCTCAACATATAATAAATGTATATACACATGTATGTGTATGTATATATGTATGCATATATTCACGTTCAATCGTTTTCAGTTGTATCTGACTCTTTTGTGAGCCCATTTGGGGTTTTCTTGGCAAAGATACTGGAGTGGTTTGCCATTTCCTTCTCTAGCTCATTTTACAGGTGAGGAAACTGAGTCAAACAAAGTTAAGTGACTTGCCCAGGGTCACACAGCTAGTATCTGAAGCTGGATTTGAACTCCTGGCACTCTATCCACTGCACTGTTTAGCTGCCCTGTGTATGTATATATGCATAATTTGTTAAGAATTCTATAAGTATTCTCAACAAATGTTGAGTATGTCAATAAATATATTTGAAGATATGTATACCTATACATATATGTATATACGCACACATATATAGAATTCTATAAATATTCTCAACAAATGTTGAGTATGAATTCTCAATAAATATATATGTAGGTGTATATATACCTACATATAAGTATATATTCATATGTAGATATATATCTATATATAGATATATATACCTACATATATATATCTATTGAGAATTCTATGAGTATTTTCAAACATTGAGTATGAATTATCTCTCTATATATGTATGTATGTATGTATGTATGTATGTATGTATGTATACAATGCCTGCTACATATAAAGTACAGTGCTAGGAAATGGAGATACAGGAGTGGAGAAAAAGACAGCCCAGCATAGTCCCTGTCCTAAAGGAATTTACAATCTAATAACAGGATGAAACATCATTACTATACTATAATGCAAAGTAGAGTGTGATGAAGGGTAGAAAAGAGGTTAAACAGTAGCCTGAGAGAAAACTCACTTCCAACTGGGGAGATCAGGAAAGGCTGCATGGAGGAGGAGGCAACTGGGCTGAACCTTGAAAGAAAAGAAAGATTTCAAGATGTGAAGTTTGAAAAATTCTTTACAGCCGCTTCCAGGGACGTTGTGCGTCAGGGGGATCTCTAGTATCAGGGCACGGAATGGACTTGTAATTTCACAAGAATAGGCCATTCTTAGATGAGGAAATCCTATCTACCAAAGAAGGCTGGTGCCTTCTCTGCCACATATAGTCTTAGAGAACAATGAATGTCACTGGAGTACAAACAACTTGTCCAAGGTTAAACAGCCAATGTGTGTCAGTGATGGGTCTTGCTCTTAATGACTTTGAGACCAGCTTTCTATCCAACACACTAGTGGTGTCACTAAACCCTTTGTATCTCTGTGGGCAGAATGTTGACTTAGAAAGCCACGCATTAAGATTGTCTATGTTCTATTGTATTTTTATTTATTTTGTTAAATATTTCCCAATTATATTTTAGTCTGGTTCAGGCTGCAGCAGCAATGTGGCCCTTGGACAGCATGTTTGACACCCTTTCGACTATACTGTTCAACCTTGTTATTACTCTGCTCTCACCAAGCAAGGTGACTAACCCAGTCACATTGCAAGCATGTAGTAAGTGCTTATTATGTGCCAGGTGTTGTGTTAAACACTGGGGGTACAAAAAAAGGCAAAAAGTCCCTTCCCTCAAGTAGCTCACAATCTAATGGGAGAGACAACATACAGACAACTACATAAAAACAAGCCGTATACAGGATTAATGGGAAATAATCAGCAGAGAGAAGGCCCTAAAATTAAGAGGGGTTGGAAAAAGCTTCTTATAGAAGGTGGGATTTTAGTTAGAACTCAAAGGAAGCCAGAGAGGTCAGTAGGCAGCAATGAAGAGGGAAAGCATTCCAGGCATGGGAGAGAGCCAGAGAAAATGCCCGGAGCCAAGAGATGGAGGATCTTGTTCGTAGAACAGTCTCTCTGAATCACAGGGAGTAAGGTATAAGAAGACTGGAAAGAGAGGGAGGGAGGGTTAGGTAATGAGGGGCTCTGAAAGCCAGAGGATCTTATATTTGATCCTGGAGGCGATAGGGAACCACTGGGGATTATTGTGGGGATGCATGGTCACACCTGCGCTTTAGGAAAATCACTTTGGTGCAGGCACGGAGGATGGACTGGAGTGGGGAGAGACTTGTGGTAGGCAAACCAACCAGGTGAACTATCACAGTAGTCCCGGTGTGAAGAGATGAAGGCCTGCATCAAGGTGATGGCAATATTAGAGGAGAGGAGGGGACATATTTGAGAGATGTTACAAAGGTGAACTCAATAGGCTTTGGCAATGGATTGAATGGGGGTAGGGTGAGAGACAGGGAGGAGTAAGGATGATACATAGGTGGGGAGCCTAGGAGACTGGGAGGATGGTGGTGTCCTCCATGGTAAGAGGGAAGTTTGGAGGAGGGGAGACTTGGGTGGGTGGGGGGGATAATGAGTTCAGGTTTGGATATGTTGAATTTAAGATAACTACTGGACATCTAGTTCCAGATGTCTGATAGGCAGTTGGAGATGTGAGACTGAAGGTCAGCAGAGATGTTAGGACTGATTAGTTGATTTGAGAATCAACAGCCTAGAGATGATCGTTGAATTTATAGGAGCTGATGAGATCCCTAAGTGACGCAGTGTAGGGATAAGAGAAGAGGACCCAAGACAGAGCCTTGTGGGACACCTATGGTTAGTGGGCATGACCTGGATAAAGATTCAGAAAAGGAGACTGAGGAGTGGTTAGATGAGAAAGAGGAGAACCAGGAGAAGGTGGTGTCCTGAAAACATTGAGAGGAGATTAACAAGGAGAAGCTGGTCAGCAAGTCCTTGGATAAACTTAGAAAAGTCTCCTTCCCACCAGAAAAGGCATCAGGATTAACCACTTTCTGGGCATAGAATTCCAGAAACTCCCCCCACCCCAATTCTGGAGGAATTTTGAGAGTTAGACTAAATTGGAAGGTGAGTTAAACCTCACCTCAGCCTGCTATATCTAGTAAGCCCCAAGATGCTTCATCCTATCCATTTACCAGGCACCATGATACTAAGGCCTCGATGGCATTGGCATCTTTCCCTCTGCCTTGTTGCAAATCATTCCCAAACATGCACACATCCCCTTCCACCTCTTGCTCAGGAAATAATAATCAAATCAATACTATCATTGCTACTGGAAAGAAAGTACTTCTGCCCTATTGCTTCATTCAGAATCTTTGTGACTACCTCCAGGGGTGGGGAACCCGCAACCTCAGGCCACATGTGGCCTTCTAGGTCCCCAAGTGTGGCCCTTTGGCCACATGTGGCCTCGAGGCTGCAGGTTCCTCATCCCTGACCTAGACCAAAATCCCTTATCCAGGCTGCCACTTCTCATTAGTGTTTGTTGTACCCACCCACCCACTCCCATGCTGTACACAGAAAATTAATCATTTTTGAATTTGGGGCTCTTTGGGCAATTTAGTGAAGCCTATAGACCACTCCTCAAAAGAATGTTTTTAAAATGCATAAAATAAAATACAGAGGATTACGAAGGTTAGTGAGAATAAAGATGTAATTTTTCTCCATCCAAGTTCACAGACTCCCTGAAATTTATCCACAGTCTGTGAGCCCCAGATTAAGAACCCCTGCAAGCTCTCTGAGGCAAGGCACTGCTTCACTTTTGTATCTGTGTCCTCAGTGCCTAGGACAGTGCCTGGCACATAGTACACACTGAATAAATGTTTATTAGTTGATTGATTCATTGATTCTCCTTTCAAATTTCCTCCTTTGTAAAGTGAGGAATCTGAATTAAGGTCCTATCCAGCTCCTACTGCACCTACTTATTGAGCACCCACAGAATGTATAACCGTAGAACTCCCATGGAAGGTGGCAAGAAAAAAGGACTTGAGTCCCCAGCCACTGGCCCTGGTGAGCCCCAAGGCTCCTCCCACCCCATGTCTCTTTTTGGCCCGCTATTTGGAACAGGCTGTGGGAAAATCAAAGGAAGACACTGTGAACAGCATTGTCAGGATGGATTTGCTTGGGACACTGGCCAGCTCCTGAGTCATTGCCTGCTTCCTGCCAGGGTGGGGGTGCTCCTGGTACCATGTAGACAGACTAGTAGGGAGCACCCAGTGCCCCATTATTGCCTCTTGAGGGTCCCCTTTCTCAACAAAGGGAGAACAGAATTTTGCCTCAAGAACACTTGTCACCCCAAAATTTTCCTTTGGAACTCTCTCCTTAATCTTTCAATATCTTTCTCTCCCTCCTCTCTCTCTCTGTCTCTCTCTCTGTCTTTCTGTCTCTCCTGCCCTTTCTCTCTCTCCCTCCCTCCTCCTTTCCCCTCCCTTCTTTTCTCTCTCCCTCCTCTCTCACTCTTCTCTTTCCCCCCTCCTTCTCTCTCCCTTTTCCTTCCCTCTTCTCTCTTTTCTTTCCCTCCTTCTCTCTCTCTTTCCCCTCCCTCCTTCTCTCTCTCTTTCCCCCTCTCCTTTCCATCCCTCCTTCTCTGTTTCTCTTCTTCTCTGTCCCTCTGTCCCCCCCTCCTCTTTCTCACCTTTCCCCTTTCTCTCTCTCTCTCTCTCTCTCTCTCTCTCTCTCTCTCTCTCTCTCTCTCTCTCTCTCTCTCTCTCTCTCCTACTGCTTCCCCTCTACTCATACAGGAGCATTCTCACTTCCTCACATCTGCTTCTATCATCTCCACAACTGGAATACCTTCTGCTCTCCCAGCCTATCCATATTCTAGCCATCCCAAACTTAAGTCCCTTTTCCTTTAAACAGAGCCTCCAGGGACCTTTCCTTTTCCTAAAGTCCCATAGGCATGCATTGACTATACTATTTTATTTTGCCACTTAATCCCTTATGTCTACACAATGATTTTCATTCTTTTCCAAGAAATTTCAGAGGTTATTTTTGTTAATCCTCATAATCTTGGGAGGTGTGGGCAGCTAGGTGGCTCAGTGGATAGAGTGCTCAGCCTGGAGTCAGGAAAGATTCATGTTCCTGAGTTCAAATCTGGCCTCAGACACTTCCTAGCTGTGTGACCCTGGGCAAGTCACTTCACCCTGTTTACCTCAGTTTCTTCATCTGTAAAATGAGCTGGAGAAGGAAATAGCAAACCACTCTGGTATTTTTTGCCAAGAAAACCCCAAATGGGGTCAAAAAGAGTTGGATATGACTGAAAACACCTGAACAACAAAAAGCCTGGAAGGTAGACAGGGCAGGTTTTGCTATCCTTATTTTACAGGTAAGGAAACTGAGGCCCAGAAATATCGCTAACTTAGCCAAGGTCACAGAGCAAGCTGAAGGTCCCGTTTTGCCCTCCCAAGAATATTGCAAGGACACATGGAGATCTAAAATATGAATGGCCTTTGAGGGCAGGTGGAGAAAAGGAGCACCTGAAAAAGGAGGTGAAACCTTCTGTCTTGGCCAGAAGAGAAGAGGGTGCCACCTTCTTCCAGCCAAGCCCCAAGAACCAAGCCAGTCTATTTTCTGCCTTCCCCTCAGGAGTCAGGCACTGAGGAAAAGGAAAGGAATCCCTCCTGCCCTCACACTTTGTTGGCTGAAGACTTCAGAGTGGCTTATGGGCTGGAGAGGGGAGCTGGGGTGAGTGAATCATAATCCTGCTACCCACTCCCCAGAGCATCGAGAAGCGTCTTCCTTCCCTTCATGCCCAGAGAAGCTGCCAAGGGGAACTCCCACTTCCATAAAGGCTATTTTGGGGACAGACTTTCCCCCCACACCATCCTCTATCTTCTTGTCATTGTTAGAGCTTAACAATAGAAGCAAAGGAGTCCCCCCTGGGGTCTCCACGGGCGGGATTCCAAATTTAAGCAAATGTTCACAATGGCAGGAAGAGATCTCTTCCTTCCAGGGGCCACAGCTGTACCTGGTGCCTGACCCCGCAGCTGTACCCGGTGCCTGACCCCAGACTGCCCCTGACCCCGGTCTTCCCCATGCACCATCAGGGTACTAGAACAGAGTAGATCCTCCCTCTCAGGGGTCTGCCCCCGCCCCCCGGGGCGTGG